ATGCATATTTGTTTTCAGAGAGCTGACTCATATTTCTTCTTTGCTTAATTCGTAGGACCCTTTAGATCCTACAAGATCAGTGATTGTAATCCGCTCCCTGGTAGCAGATGGTGTAGCTGAAAGAAGTGGAGAGCTATTACCTGGAGACCGCCTGGTCTCAGTCAATGAACACTGTTTGGACAACACCACACTTGCTGAAGCTGTGGAAGTGTTGAAAGCTGTGCCGCCAGGCACCGTATGCCTTGGCATCTGTAAGCCTTTGGTGGTAAGTGTTGAATTTTGTTAATATAGGAAATGATAATAGTGCAGTAGTTAAGAATGTGGATTTTGGAGACAAATACACCTGGCCTTGAGCCCCTATTCTACTGCTTATTATGTGCATGAACTTATATGAGTTTCTTAAAATCCTTGACTTACAAAATCAGAAAAAATAATGTCTAGCTCATAGGATTTTGAGGATTAAAGAAAATTATATTCATTAAGTGCATAGCACATTATTATGTAAATGCTAGCTGCTAATATTACTAGTCCTATTACTACCACTTTTACTACTGTTTTCATCTTCATGCTTTTAGCACAGACTTGTAAGTTCTCATCACATCCCTTATACATAAATTAAAATAAGTATTTATGCATTTAAACTTTAATTTGAGAAGGATTTGAGATGGCATGATAAGTTGAAATCCAGTTAACCATATCATTTTAACCATATGGCAGTGAGATTTTAATATGATTTTCTGACCATCAGAATGCCTTGTAATCCCTAGCAACAAGTACTCCTATACAGCCAAGCCATCTTGAAATCATCTTATTGCCTAATCTTACGTACTAGGTCAGGTTACTATTTATGATTGAAGGCTACATTACAGTTATGGTGCTGTTGAGATCTCCAATGCAAAGTTTCAGCTAGTTTAAAAATATTATTGCATGCTTAGTATGTGTCAGTCAGTATTTTAAGCCCTTTATGTATATTAGCTAATTTAATCCTCATAGCAACTTCAAGAGGTACTGTTTTT